TATGTTAAATTACTAGTGAAAAAATCAATTAATATACACATAAATGTTTCATAAACTGCTAATACAGATATTCATTACTAGGATGAACTGCTTTAAAATGTGAATAAATGAACAAGTTAATTAATGAACAACTCTTTTTACTTTAACTATATGATATGTATTAATTTGTCTACATATATACATATATTTTTTTTAAACCAGAGAAGATTAATGTATTTAAAGGTCAATTCTGCTTTCATAACTGTTTAAGACTGAAATGGTGAGCTACAGCTTCACATTTGGAATAAGTTAAAGATGGTTACATCTAGCCTTAAAAAAGCCTGCTATCCCTCTAGGTGTCCTTGACTTGGACAGTCAGGGTCTGGGTTTACAATAGGCGAGAACCAGTCCTCTCCTCACTGTATGCTCTCTTGCCAGTTGTTATAACAACCACTACTGCCCCTTCCCATAGTTCTGAGGCAAGAAACATTCTCTCTCTGTGTTTTTATATAGTTGAATGCAGTGGTTTTTCTTCCTTAAAAAATAACATTTGTTTAACATGCCTGATGTTTTAGAAAGAAATTTAACACAACAGTAAAAGTGTCCTTACAGGTTAATATTTATATTTTTAGAAAATCATTCCTTTAAAAAACACTCCATTTTTCTGTTCTTGAAGACTGTATGTTGTTTAAGTAATTTGCAATATAACACTGAAGTGGTGTTTTATATGCAACTTAAATAACTTTTTATGTTTTATTCCATGATTTTATATAGTGCCCTACTGACATTTGCCATCCATATTTGAAATCCCATATTATTGCTGGCTTCATAGATTGCAGCAATAAAATAGTATGCAAGATTGAACATTTACCACAAATCTCAAAAACCTGTAGGAGGAAATGGGCTCCGAAATGTAATGTTTTAAAATGACTTAGTGAAGCAGGGATTTCAGTAAATTTCTTTTGCTCAAAAACTGCTAAAATTGCCCAGCACTTGGAATAATAAATAGAACTAGACATTTGTAATTAATAGCTAATTTTAAAATAATTCAGAGCATTGTTATTTTATGTAAAGGCCTTTGAAATATAAATATATCTTGTTCTAATGGAGCTTATGATTTTTAAAAATCCTAATTTAATTTTCTTTATATTTACTTTTATTAAAAATATTCAAAAATGTAATGAATTACATTATCAATTAACAATACAACCAGAGACCATATTATGTATCTGTAGTCTCCTTCTTAAATGCTTTCTTAAAAATACTTTTTTGTCAGTCTACAGAAATATGCTTATAGGTCTTACCAAAAACCCAGAAACCAAAAAACCCAGAAAGATCTCTAAAAATACCATAAAGTGCAACAAACTAAACAGAATTGGCTTATTCTGAATCTTTCCAAATGACGGTTTCCAAGTTTGCAACTGGGACTTTTTGTTTTAATAGTCAAATCCTTCCTTTATATATATATATTTCTTGAATTTATCATTTACAAAACAAATTCTTATCTCCACAGCCAGACTATTAAGTCTGACTATTAAGTTACTCAGAGGAATAAGAGGTCATCAAGTGGAGTAGTGCAAATGTTGCTTTTTGGGATAAATGTTGTGTCTGGAATTCTTTTTGGAGCAGGCAAAGTAAAAATAACTAAAGCATAGATGAAAGTAAATGACAAAAATACACAAGTGCTGTTTTAGACTAAATATGAGTCTATATTTACTTGTTCTTACCTCTCATCTGAAACTGATGAAAACTAGATCATATTCAAAGACCCTTTCAATTTTAAAATAAAAAGTTTTCAGAATATTCCTACATCACAAACTGTTTAAATTAGACTTTGGAGCTTGGTGGTATTAAAGATCTAATTTGACTCATGTGTTAACCAGCTTCCAAGATGGCCCCCAGTGGTTTACACTTCTTGGTAGTCACATCTTTGTGTATCCCCTCCCACATTGTACCAGCTTTGGTCTGTGTGACCAACATAGCACAGCTGAAGTGATGATGCTATGTCATTTCTGAGATTAGATTTTTAAAGCATGGTGGCTTCTCTCTTGGGCATGCTCGCTAAGTTCCTCTCTTGGGTCACTCAGTCTGGAGGAGGTGATCTGCCAGATCCTGAGTGAGCCTTTGAAAAGGTCCATATGGTGTATAACTAAACTTTGCTGCCAACAGTCGCATGAGTGGATTTAGAAACAGATCCTCTAGCCCTAACCAACTATGGCCCTACCTGTTAGCTTGACTACAAACTCATGAGAGCTTCTGAGCCAGAACCACCCACTTGAGCCTTTCCCAGATTCCTGACCTTCAGAAAATGTGTGAGATAATAACTTTTTAAGTGTCTGTGTTTGGGGTGATTTGTTATACAGCACTAGGTAAGTAATACAACTCACAAAGGAAAAAACAAGGCCCCAAATTTCACACCCTTCATAGCAAATCAGGATCAGTGAACTGGCCATGGATAATTAAATGGCTTAAGGCCCACAAGCAAATCATTTTGCTCTAAAAGGAAATGTTTCTCATATGCATATAAAAGTATTTGATCTATATTCTTAATCTCATGCAACAGCCCTCTGGGAAAGCCTCTCTGAGATGATCCTGGGGTCTCCTATATTCCCTGGTCCCACTGTGTACACATTTATCCCAATTATATAAATTATTCTTTGTTTATCTTCTTCATTTCTAGATTGAAATTTCTTGAGGACAGGGACTTTCTTTTTACCGATTGTAATTCCTGTTATATAGTAGTTACTTAATGTACATCAGCCAAATAAATACATGTCTGAATTACCATACTGTAGTTATCCTAAGATCCAAGCAAAAAATAAAAATCGTTTTAAAGTAAAAGGAAATTGTCATCATAAGCACAGTTTAGACAAAAAGAAATTGGACAGTCTTAAAGGATATTTTCCAGACCCACTGTCTGTTAACAGTCACAGCCCCCAGGTTCCATGCCTCCTTGCTCCAGAGGGTCCTGAATGCATGCTAACAAAACTTGTCTATTTCCTGCTTATCTCTCCCTGCCACTCTTCTCTTGATACATTTCCTTAGCTCTAAACATGTGATTCAAGATTGCATTTCAAGGATTCCCCCCCCAATGCCAATCCACATTTTAAATTGAAATACCTTAGAAGCAGAACTACATATACACATCCCTAGCTGGGCTATCTAGCAGTGTTGGTGTGAACCATGAATGAGTCCTTTTTGCTTCTCACCCTGGAACACCTGGATTACACATCTGTTGCCAGGGCCTTGGTATACAGATCATCTGAAGCCACTGCACCAGGAAATAGAACTTCCACATTTGCCAAATATGTGGCCAGACGAATCATTTTGCCTGAAATTCTAATGAAATCACGGGAAATAAATGGGAAGTTCAAAATAAATTGACATTTTATTTTATTTAGATAGAAATATCATTTCTGGTATTTCAGATTGAGTCATCATTGACTATTAGCAAGGCTGGGTCTTAATATCTATTTGATTTAATAATTGATTAAATACTTGTATTTATATTCTACCATCTTCTTTTCCTAAAGAGTTGCAGGTTTCCTAACTTAAAGTGAGCAGACAACATTTGTGTTTCAGTTAATGGCTGATTTGTGTGTTGGATGCAAAGATTCCACCAGTGATTTATTTCATTAAGTCAGTAATCATTTCAGCTGCAATAACCTTCAGTCACAGGCAGCTAATGCTGCAGTAATGATTTCTGAGAAAGCTAATGCTAGAAGCCTCTAGCCATATTTGCAAATAAGTCCATGTATCATGATCAAAGATTGATCCAGGGAGCACAAGTCTTTGGTGACTTTTGCAGCATAGCTTGCAGACAGTAATTTTTAGAGAGCGTAAAGATTAATTAAGGAGAAGAGAAACTAATCACAGATTCCTCCAGTCTTATAGTTTTAAAAGACTATGAAAGATGATGGTGTGCATACCATACAACTACGATTATCTTAAATTAGCTCACTTAAGGCCAAAGTAGTAATGTCAGCTATCAGGTTTTATTTTTATTTTATTTCACATATCTAAAATCAGTGTTGGCGGAAGTAGGTCACTAATTCTGAAAGACAAATGGAAGACAGAAAATTATACAGAAGTTATTTTCAAAGTATTGCAGACTCATTGGCATAACATATAAAAATTCCTCTCCAGTCAATTATCTGATAATGACGTGGATAAGCATTTGGCTAAAAGTAGAGTGAATGCCTTTTTAAAGAAAAATACAAATAAGCCGGCATTTCCCAGACCCTCTTTGCTTTAAATAATGACCAAAATATGTTAGTACTTCTAAATTAAAAGTCACAGATTTTCTCTTCAAAGCTCAATTACTATCAGACTTTTTTATTATTAATATTTTGAATACTATGAAAATAAACACTTTTTTCCCCTTAGTTTAACAATAACCAAAGCTTGTAGATTAAGGCAAATGAAGGTCTGTTTCAGTGGGTTTTTGAGATCAGCTTTAGTGTCTGAGCTACTTTTTGCATTTGTGTCTGTATGTTTTTATGTGCATAGTTTTTCATTTTAAAAGTGGAAAATTGCTTCATCTGTAACACTTAACACAGCATTGAGAGTGAATTCATGGTATTGAAAAAATGAGGTCATCTGGATGCTAATGACTTGCAAACTCGTATTTGTTCCAAAACTGTTCTCTGAACTTCATACAAGCAACTACCTATTTGGTATTTCCACTCTGATGCTTAAAGCCATTCCAAACTCAAAATATCCAAAATAAAACACATGTTCTCCCTGTCCACCTCTCTCCTTCTCTAATCAAAGCTGTCAAACAACTATTACGGCCTCTTAAGTGTTCCCTCAGCATACACTCATGCTGTCTTCCAATTCTTCCACTTCTGCTGTCTGAGCTATCTTTTCAAGATGCAAATCCGATTATGCAATCGGTTCAGAAAACTCACTGAAGTTTGAGACCTGTTTCTTGATTATTCTTAGATTCTTTTACTTTTAATTGGTGACTGGAGATAAAGAAATCGTACACGAAAGTTCAGGAAAGCAAGCTTACCTTTTTCCTCCTTCTTTCTTCATCCTTTGGCTCATAAAGGAGAGTCAGTGATGGGTGGGAAGGACCTTGCTCATAGATGAGGCCAGGCTTCACAGTCTCCCTCTCTGGCAGAAGCTAGTACATCTTAAGGAAGACAAGGAAAATAAAAGAGGTAGTCTCAAAGCTTGATGGTCCTCAAGACTTTGGGTCATTGTCCAATCAAGGGAGAGATAACCTTGCCTTAAGCTGGTCTTAGTGGTGTTAGCAGAGACCAGGGTACATATTCTCAACGGGTTAAAGGATCTCCATAGATGAGGCACAGTGTTTCTTTGATTGTGAGGCTATCTGCTGTAGCCAAAGTTCAAGAAGTTTTTGCTGGATATTCCTAACTTCTTGACTCTAATCTTCATATGACTAATTAGTGATAATTCTCACTTCCTCAATTTTATGCCCAGAGGCATCTATTAATTAGTTAATAGTCTGAGTGCAAGTTTAAGGGGGTCTTTTTACCTGATGTGAAAAGTAGCCAGCAAGCCAGCACCGGTCTTTCCTCCACTGATTATTATTATACTCAATACTTAAATTACCTTTAGGACAAGGAGAAAAAAAATCCTACCATAGTTTACAATACCCTTGGCCTTTTAAAATTTCTAAACAGTTTTATGCTTCTTTTAGTCTCAGAGCTTGCAAATGTCGTACTATGTGTGAAGTACCTTCTACCTTCATCTAGTTAATGTATCCTTCAGGTCTCAGGTTTAGTGTCATTTCCTCATCCAAGATGAGGTCCTATTTCTGCATTACCTGTGTCAGTGAACTCTTCTACTGCAAAACATTCGCTGCTGTGTTTATACTTGTGATAATTTAATTGATTTACATTCCTACTATTAGAATGTAAGTTTCATGTGGCCATAGGTCACATATATTATGTGTGTAGTGCCTTATACACAGTGTGCTCAATGAATGTTTGTTAAGTGGATCAATTCATTTAAATAAGAGAACAAAAATAAATCTTATAAATCTGTAAACATACATAACAAATGCAAAAGTATAATTTTACATAGGTATTGGTTATAGGCAGTTAGATACTGGAACAATAAATGTCTTTGTTATATATCATTTAAAAAATATACCTTATTAGAATATAATAGAAAAAGAAATGGGATTATCAGAATTGTGCAAATAAAGTATTGTGCACCCTAATATTAATTTCAATTTGTAGGGTTAATATTAACTATTTTTAATGTCTAGAAATTGAATATATTGTAAGGATGAGACAAAATCAACTGTTTTCGAAATGTATATGATATAAGTAAGTCTCCATTACACAGGTTTCACCAGGGGCTGAAGTGAATGAAGGCATTTATGCCATTTTAAGTGTACTGATAGAGGACTCCAGTCAGGACTCAGCTTCATTTCAGCACTATTTCTCCTTCCTCCAATGAAAAAAAAATTGAATAAAGATATATAGAGTATTTGAAAATCTAATCCATCTACACTCTTTCAGTTGTATCATAGCTGAAGCCAAAAGGGATTTTGACAAATAGCCTGTTTTCCCCTGCTTTTCTCCGTGTGTTAATAAGCAGGATTTCTTTTACAACACAATTAAAGCTTATTTCACAACATAACCAAATGTTCACAAGGATTCTGAGGTAAGATTTAATGTCAAAGAAAGCCATTGTCCAGTGCAAAATCAATGACCTGGTCAAGTTAAAGACATATTTTAAACCCAATTATGTTGGATGGCAAGTCTAATGAGACCATTCAACAACTATTATCGTATTAGACATAAATTCAACCACCAACGTCAAACATCATTAGTTTTAATTGCTTGGGGATTTAGAAATTCATTTTTATGAAATACTGTTTTGTTGAATACTGGGAAGATTTTTTTCACTTATTTCCCATAATTACCATTAGGAAAAGTATAAAATTGTTGCATCTACGATATTATAGAAAATTTTAAAACCATGGCACAACTATGCCAAGAAATTAAAGTCTAAAAAAACATAAAATGAGCTTGAAGAAGAAGTTGAATGCTGTAGCAGAGATGATGAAACTATTTGGTTATTATATAATATGAGAGAAAACATTTAGATTCAAATATACAACCTGGATTAATAGATTTAGGATAATGCCTGTTTTTTGGCAGGTGTTCAATAATAGATAATTGAAATGAACATCACAGATGTTACAATATTTTTGTCTTTTAATATTAAAACCATTTAATTCTGCCTAGCCTGTAGCATAGCACTTTGGTGTTTTATCAAGAAAATTATATTATAAGAAATCATGTGTTATATCAGTTTAGAGTTTGACCAAATTACCTATACCTGGAATATCCTGGTAATTTAAAAGTATTTAAATTATTCTTTGCCTGTGATATTTATTTTGCCTGTGATATACTTTGCGTATATAAAGATAGAGAACTATAGATTTTTCATTTCTTGCCTTTTGAGTTTGCATAATGCTCAGATCTATTAGTCTCTTTTATCTTACTCTTTTCTATGTGCTTCATAGGTAATAGCATTCAATTTACTTTTAGGAAGAGCTATAAATTATGTAACAATTCCTGCCTACCCCCTTTTTACTACTAAACTAGACCTTTTTCCACCTCAGCAGGGAAAGATATTGTGTTATGACAGAGTGGTGTGTGAAAATAAAATATATGGACTTTGGTTTTTGAACTCCAAACCCACCATTTTAGAAAGGTAAAGAGGTTGACATCTGAGCACAATATATTCCCTCATTGCCAGTGACCATTACCTCCCATTACAAAATGAGGTTGTCCTAGGTTCCATTATAAATTTTCTTCAGTGTTTGTAACTCAGCTATAAAACAGACTCTGAGACAGAAACTCAACATGGGGATTCAGCTCTGGGATGCTTTATTTTAATTATAGTTTAGTTTAAGCTGGATAGCTATTTCTCAGTAACAGGAAAGTAGTGGGGGAAAAAAGTAAATACGGCAATGTAGCTTGTCTGTTTCTGCATTCCTGTAGCTAGGAAATTAGTTTTTTTCTAAAATGCAATTTTTTTTCAGATTGTTAGTTGGAGACACAATGTTACTGTTTAAAGGAGAGATATTAAAAATCACTGAATAGGCAAGAAACTAACACTCCAACACACTTAGATGAAAAATAACTAGTGTCTTCCTGTAGGCATTTATTTATTTTTAAGATTAACAAGTCTGCATGTAGCCACTGTCAACTTATCAGGTAGATAAATAAAATTTTTTACTAAAATAATTTTAAATGCATAAAGTTGGTAACTTAGTAGAATGCAAAATGTTTGTTTATATAAATTTTCAGTTTTTTACAGATAAAGCCAATTCAATATTTAGCTAAAGGTTAAGCTTATTCAAACTATGTAATTCAGTACCAATTTTCAGTAAATAGTTATAATATAAATTTATATTTATGGATTTATATCTCTCCAACTTTATATCTGTGTTGGAGTTACCAACTTCAAGAGAATAATTATACAAATTACAAGAATAAAAACTGCAAACTATAATATAGTTTCTTTTTCACCATGTGGTTGTCCATTTTTGCAAACAAGATACATAAGTTGTACAACAAGTTGTTGACGTTTCTCTTTCTAGTCTCTTGAAGGAGTTTATGTAAGATTGATATTTATTCATAAATGGTAGAACTTTTTGTGAAATCATCAGCTTTGGAGTTTTCTTTGTGGAGAATTTTGTTTGATTGGTTTCTTTGTTTCTATTAAGGATTTAATTTCCTTAATGATTATGAGAGAATTAAGATTTCCTACTTTTGGTGAATTTGTTAAGTGTATTTTTGTTGGATTGATAGAAAAAAAGAGTTAACAAAGAGATTACTTAAATTGATTTTCTGTCAAGATAATATTCTATTGTAGATCAAAGTTTCACCTAGCAGGTATGACCAATTAAATCTTGGGACACTGTTCTCAGTGCCAACTATGAACTATTATCATAAATCAGTTATTTATAGCACTTAAAGATTGCTGTAAACAAAAAGAAATGGTATGTATAGACCTAAAATGACAATTTTGAGAGAAGGCAGCTATGTAGAAACAAGTTGGAGCTAGGTTGTATGATTGTTTAAAACCCATTTATTCGAGATGTTTTAGGCATTCTTTAACAAATATGATGTATAAGTATTTAAAATTCTTTATAAATGATAACTATAGATTAAAGGTTTTCATTCATAGATGAACAGTAGGGTCACCTATGGATGCTTTTAAAAAAATACGGATGCACAGTCCAAACCAATTAAATGAGCATCCTAGGGGTTGAGGCCTGCCATCTGTGTTTTGTAGAAGTTCCAGACAATAATAAAATAAAGAGAAGTCTGAGAACTATTGATACCCATGGATTGGTAAATGACTGCTGTCAAGAAAAAATGCATCGGTTTGAGATACAGTTACTGAACTGTGACACGTTCAAAATAAAGTATGGGATTGAAATATGATTTTCGTGTTTCATCATTATTGTTACTGAACACCTTCTTTTACCTGAGACTATTCAAGGCACTAGGAACAAGGCAGTAAACAGTCAACTTTCTGGTCTTATGGAGTATACACTTGGGTTGTGGCAAAGGAGGAGGAGCAAATAAGAAAATTCTAATATTTGTAAGTGTTGTTTGGGTGAAGGGGTAGACATTGTACATGGAAGGTCAGGGGAGCCCTCTCTGGGAGTTAATATCTTCTGTTTAAGGGACGGGAAAGAGAGGCTGTGATGGGATTATAGCAAGGGAAGATGGCACAACAGTAAGTAGAAGTCTCCTCATAGCTGAAGCCAATGAGTTTAGATTTTTTCATTCAGAGCTTTTAACCCAGGGAAGTATATAGTTTGATTTACACTAAAAGAATGGGGTCCATCCTTGGCATAAAGTGAAGAATAAATTGAAGATGAATCAGAGAGGAAGCAAGGAGACTAGGTGAGAAGGTGTTCATGTGCTCACCGAATAGGTGGTTTTGACTTGGATTAGAGTGAAAGCATGGAAAGAGGTGGGAAGATAAAGAAATGTTTTGGAGTTTGACCTTACAGGAATGCTGAAGAATGTCATACAAGGACTGAGAGAAAGAAAGGAATACAGAATGACTCTAAATTTTTATCTTCAGCAACAGGATAGGCACTAAGGTGGTGAAGCCTGAAGGAGAGGA